TTTATTTAATTTTTTATTAATATTTTAATTAAATTATAAACAATAATTAATAAACCAAGAAAAAGTATTTAATCATAAAATATATGAAAATGTACATACAAGTTGTTCGAACATAGAAGAAAAAACTACAACAAGTAGTTGTCTAGGTTTGATACATTAGGCTACTGGGTATCGGCTAGGCGAAGTGGCTGGGAGGTCGAAGGTGGAGCAAAATCAGGTGCTAGCATCGGGATTTGGAGGCTGAACATCTGTAAGGCCCGTAAGATCATGCTTATCTTCTCGTCCTGGGCCGAAAACTAAGCTGCAATCTAGGCTTCCCAAGCATCCTAGGCTGCTTCTGGGCCGCAATCTTATTTTTTTAGGGTTTCCACTTCCTTTGTCAGGGTGATACACTATCCTATGGTCGGTCTAGAAGAAGAGGCACCTGTCTCACGAACCCGCGCCTTCCCCATACCCCGAACAACCTTGCCATGATGACGACCGAGCTTCTGATCCAGGGCCTCAGTCAGGATCTGAAGACCTACATCCTCGGGTACAGTGACGTCCTCGATCGGGGTCTTCGAGGGAAGCTGTGATGCTACTTCTTGGAGAACAGAAGTGCTCTTCTCCACCATAAAAAAAAAATGTAATTAATATTTGAACTATTCATAAATATAAGAATAATAACAATTACATAAACTTACATGAAACTGCTCAATGGTCTTATCGCTGGGTTGAACATAAACGTCCTTGAACATGTTGAGCTCTGGGAACTTAGAACCCTCCTAAAGAAAAAAACATTAAGAAAATTTTATTAATCAATAATAAAATATAAATTGTATAAGATTTAAAAATTAATATACTTTTACCTGACGTCACGCCTTAACCCTATACAAGAAGGGCATCTTTAACTCCTGAGCTTTCTTGCCAACAACAGATTTCTTCTGTTAAACACACAATATACATGTTAGTGCAACTATTTGAAATAAATTATTAAAAAAGCTTATAAAAATAACTAAAACAGAAATAAATTATTATTAAAATATTATGTACATACCACAAATTTTGTCCATAAAATATTTGCAGAGCCACTTCCAATCCTCCGGCCACTCTAATAACTCGATTGAGCAACCCTCTAGGCGAGCAATCTCCAGATCATCACATTTCTTAAAATGTGCGTGGAGTTCGCACTTCCAATGTTTGTACTGGGTTGCTAAGTTCTCCTTTAAGTAGGTGGTGGCCTCGGGGATATGTCCTCAAGACTATAATAACCTACAAATATGAAAATAGTAAAATAATAGTAAGAAATTTAATAATATTAAGATAATATACTTTGGTTAATATACTAACCGACAACTCATCCCTCACCAGTTCCTTCGTCCTCTCAAGAGTTTCTGCCCCCATTGCATAGGACAATGCCACTGAATAACAAAACCATAACTGGTAGCAATGCTGCTATGTTGTTGTGAGGTAGCCGCTCCATGATGTCGTGAGTCATACGGAATCTTGATCAATTGTTGGACACACGTACGTTGTGTGCCGGCTTCAGCATTCAATTAGGCCCTCTGGTGAGTAGTAGTGACTGACTGAGAGTGAGGGAGGCGCAAGGAGAAGTAAGGTTACTTTAAGTCCGCCCATTTTTTACAATTAAACCACCACAATTTTAATAAATTGCATGACGCATGTATACATTACGATGTCGTGCTATGAGTGTTTGCACAACGACTTCATTGTAGCGTCGCGTAAGATGTATTTAAAAGAAATTTTTTTTCTAATAAATTGTTTGCACAACGATTCCATTGTAGCGTCCCGCAAGATATATTTAAAAAAAAATTATTATATATACAAAATAAATCAAATTTAAAGCTACGTAATAAATGTATATATCATTCAATTTAACTTGTCTACATTATCGTCATCCGAACTACAATTTAACTGTTACTTTAACTCCGATTCGATGATTTTTTACAGTTACACTCTTTGACCTTATATACTTTAAGATCACATACGTCAAAAATCGCAAAAAATAAACATTTAGAGATCAAGTAATAGGACAAAACTTTTCAACAGTTATAAACAAAAAATCACGATTTAACGGTTGTTTTAACTTCGATTTTGACGATTTTTACAACTACACTCCTTGACCCTATATGAATGCAATGAATGAATTTGATCTTCAATTTAACATATTTACACTAGTGGATACCACAAAATCTTATGCTATATTTAATGAAAGTATAAATAAACTCTAAGTGTTGGTGAATCTATTGTTTTGATGGGATACACATTCTACAAAACTAGTTTCAATGATCCAACCGTCAAACTTGTTTGTATATACTTTGAGATCACATATGCCAAAAATCGTAAAAATCAAACATTCAAAGATTAGCTAATCAGACAAAACTTTTCAACAGTTACAAAGGAAAAATCAAGATTTAACGATTATTTTAACTCCAATTTTGATGATTTTTTATAGCTACACTTTTTGACCTTATATGAATACAATGAATGAATTCGATCATCAATTTAAAATATTTACACAAGTAGACCATAAAATCTTATGTTATACTTAAGTATAAAATAGAACTCTTAAGTGTTTGTTGAATCTAATATTTTGACAGCGTCGCACATACTGTTTGGCGATTTTTCCAGAAAATTGAGTGACGGACTAACCACATTGCGCAAAGGCAATTTGCGGAACGGAGATTTATAACGTTGCGCAAAGGTGTTTGCGCGACACATTTATCCGTTGCGCAAAAACCCTTTGTGCAACGCGATTGTTCCGTCACACAAATGCCTTTTATGTGACGCATTGGTTGGTATGTTGCGCAAAAATCCTTTGTGCAATGCAGTTGTTCCATCACTCAAACACCCTTTGCGTGACGCATTGGTTAGTACATCGCGCAAAAACCCTTTGTGCGACACATTTGGTCTGTTGCGTAAACACCCTTTGCGTAATGCATTGGTTGGTACTGTCATGCAATTTTCTAGTGCCAAACCAGAATTTTACCACAATTTTTTGGCACAATAATATATTTTTCTAACAAAAATCCGATTCGAACTGCAATAATAAATTTAAGGCTACTTAATAAATATATATACCATTCAATTTCTTAAGTGTTATACGTACAAAATCAAATCGCTTACCAGATAAGGATAGATCGAGGAAGGGAAAGGAAATGGAGGAGAAGAGAGATGAAATATTTGTATGATGAATTTAAGAGCAAAGGAGGATTGGAGAAGGTTTTGAAGAGAGATGGGGAAGGGAGGTAGTCGCTGCAATTGGGTTTGCTGTTTCTGCCTCCCAAACTACTTTTGTGATCCGGAAAAACTCGTTGACTTTGCACGACAAAACATTTTATCACGTAAAACTGTTTAGTGCAACGAAGGTGTACCTTTGTCACGCAATGTCAGGAATAAAAATTGGGTAAAAGCCTTGGTTAGGCCAAAGAAAATTGCGCAACGGACCACTCACGTCGCATAAATAGTCTTTGCGCAATGGTGAACGAAAATGTTGCGCAAAGGCCATTTGCGCGAAGTTGTTGGTTTGTCGTGCAATTTTCTGGCGCCAAACCAAGACTTTTACCACTTTTTTCCCAACATTGCGCGACAAAGGTACACCTTTGTTGTGCTAAACAATTTCCTTGCGCAACGTAATTTGCTCCGTTGCACTAGTTTTCGTCGTGCAAGTGTGTTTTTGTACTAGTGACATTGGGGCTCTTCAAACCAAACAACCTGAGTAGCTAACACTAAACTTAGCCAACCTGTGTGCCACCTTGTTCATTGTCCTGCAAGTATCAATGATATAATGCCCAAATGGAGATGAATTCTCCAGACCTTCATATTGTAACGCCTTGATAACCATCAAAGCATCACCTTCAAACTCCACCCTTGTGTGTTGCATTTGTTGTGCAAATGAAGCCGCATCCCCTGCTGCAAAAGTTTCTGCCATCAACGGTGACCGAAACTCCATCAACTCTTCCACTCTCCATTCAGTCATCCCATGCCACATCAAAATTGCACTTTACCCATCAACTATCAAGCGGTGTCCATGGCTGCACCACGACATGCTTGGTGGTTTTCTCAGTCCATGCCATTTGTGGTATTCCTGCAACCAAGTTTGAAATTGCAATTTATTTCCAGAAGATTCAGTGCCTTACCTTGCCAAAGTAGTGAGTTGCCTTCCGTCCAAATACTCCATAATAACAACAATGCAAGGTCGAAACTTTCCTCGGACAAAGAACCAGCAAGTGCAGCCACCCACTCTAGCATGCTCTCTCGTCGACCCCCATACTTGGTATTCCCAACTGGCTGGAAAATCAAACAGCAGCGCTCGCGGGCAATCCCTCATTAGGTGTTCAATCGTTTCAGCATTCCCATCACAGAACAAACAAGTTGTCTCCATATGCATTTTCCTTTTCTGTAGATTGTCCTTTGTTGGTGAAGCATCCATACAACATAGCCACACGCATATTTTAACCTTTCCCAGCACACGAGCTTGCCATAACGCTTTTAAACCTAGGCCACCCTCACCGTTCGGTTTACATCATTTCCTCCACGGAATCCAATGTATTCTTCTTTTTCCGTGTTATATACACCACCAAAATTGGGCGACCATTTTAATTTGAAATACAATTATCCACCCAAACTTAACCAATCTTGCAATGTGGCATCTATGCGAATTTCCATATGTAATTTCGTCAAATTTAAGCACGTGGCTTGCAAAAACCCCCCTTTAAGAGACTTTTTTTTTGTTCGATTCACAAGCATATAGTATCAAATGATGTTCCTTTCGAAATAAATTTATGCTTTTTTTGGAATTAATTGTTATTTCAAATGAAAATTTCGTACTTTGCCTTGATTTTGTACTAAATTATTAATAAGTCCAATTAAGTTTAAGTTTAGCCAACCAACTTCATTTACTTGGAGAAAATGAAAGTTTGAAAATCGTCACCCTAGTTTAATAACTGAATAAGATCCTCCACATCAGAATTATTAGGAGATGAAGACCTGAGCTTTAGCCAATTTGACTAGAGCAGTGTCCTTCCTCTTTTTCACCCAAGTTCAAGTCTTCCTCCTCGTATTTCATATAAATAATTGTTGAATATGGTTTGTATTTATTAAAAAAATTAGTAGGAGAGCCCTTGATTTTTCTTTGTTCTAATGAAAATTTCAGCTTGGGCCCAACCAACTTGGATCCTAGGCCTAATCTTACGGTGGTAACTCTGGCCCATCGTTTCCCAATTTGAATTCCCGCGCGCGTATTTTTTTTTTTTGTTATTCGGACGCGGAGCGCCGGATCTCAGTCGTCCAGCTCACGCAACTCTGCAAAATCCACCGCCCATGGCCTCCCCGAGCCTCTACCCCGTCGTGGACGACAATGACCTAGACGACGCCGCTCTGTGGGCCGTCATCGACTCCGCCGCCGCCTCCCACTCCTACTCCAAATCCAAACCCCAACCCCACAAGCCCCACGCTATCAAATACCCAAACTACCCTCGCTCCTCCCCAGTCTCAAAACCTTCTCCTCCGCCGAAGCTCTTCAAGAGCGCTTCAAGGCTCGAATCCCCGGCCGACTCCGACTCCAAGTCATCCGTATCAGAAGGCGTGGTCATCGAGGAACCCTGGGCTTTTCATCCCCCGAGCAAGATCGCGCGGTCCTCTTCTTCCGAAATGAACGACACTAGTCCTCTTGTCGTAGTTCGAAATGTGCAGCGCACGACGCCTACCACTCCTACGACGCCGTTTTATTCGTCGCTGGAAACGCACTTGTCGCCGGGGATCGGGAATTTTGCGAGCCCTGTGAGCCAATGCGCAGAGAGAGGAGAGGGATAATAGCTCTGTAGCTGTTCATAGCATGTCCGGGAGGTTCCCTTCCGTCTCTTTGTTCAAGGAGTATCAGAATGCAGCTATGGCGGTAATTTTGCTTAGATGATTGAAGTTTTCAGTTCAATTGGGTTTTACTGCATATCTAATTTCTTAACTTTTCCTGATTAATCAAACGAATAAGCCGTCAAATTTGGATTCAGTAGACAGTTTTGACCAAAATTATGCTTCGTTTGTGTGTTTTTGATAGATAGATTGAACAGATTACAGTGTGATTGAGCTTTTCAATGCATTTGGGCTTTACTGTATCGTAATTTCTTTAATTCTGCTACTTTATGATATAAGATTAAGATATGAAATTGGGGAAATCTGAATTCCCTTGATAGTTTCGACTTTCGACACTGCGGGCCTACTTAGTTGTTGTGTTTGTGTTGTTTCAATTGATAGATTCTGGAGAAAACAGATTACACTATGATTTCTGGGCATCCTTTCATTAAAAAGTCAGGTAAATAGGTTTACAGAGATCTTAATTAGTTCAATTCAAGGGGAAATTCTAGGTGTGGGATGACATGTGTTTCATGTATGTGTTTGTGTTGTGTTAGGTTGGAGGAAGATATCATTTTACTTCAATCTCTCTTTTGAGATCAAGGACAAGACCATTGAGTTTGATGAGAATCAAAATGTTCTGCGCGCTGAATTTGTGGTTCGGGCACACATGCAGTATGAATTTTGGATCTTGGGAGCTTTTAAGATAGTAATGTGATTCCTATATCATGTCACAGTTCATTATGAATATGATTGCTTTTTTTGCTATTTTGCCTCCTTCCCTTGTCAGTAGGGGTGGTAGGTTCTCAGATGGATGGGGCGCATGCGACCGGCGTGAGAAGAGATTCAATAAACCGAATCATGATATTCCGAGCACAGCGGAGACCAGGGCTAAAAGCAAAGCATCCCAGGTAATTTTCCTCTCTTTTTCTATATTCCTTTCGCAGCTTCATTTAAATATCAGTTCTACAAATTGTTTGCCTGTTTTAACCCAAGCTTTGTGTAACTTGATGCTAATCTCATCTGGTACACGGCTAGGAAGTTAGCTTCTAACATCACCTCAGCTCACTTAGATTAGATGATTAGACTCATATGTTTGCCTTTTTCTTGTTGAACTGGTTGTGAAAGACAAGATCGGGAAAAATCTGCCAAACCCAATGACTAAAAGTGTACCTAAATACTGTCTAACCCTGTCGAAATCATTGTGTTTGCCTCCAAATTCCGTGATTTATAGCACATAACTATAGTTTTTTTCTGAACCCCATAAGATTTCCAAGTATCTGCTATGAATCTGTTTGATAACCTGTTAAAGTTTGGGACTTAATGTGTGCTTTCATACAACTGGTTCTCATATTCTGCTGGCGCTTGCTTTTCATATGCTGAGTGATGATCTGATTTTTTTTGTTTATTTTGATAAATGATGAGAGTATCGGGTACTCCGGAGCACCTAAGAAAGTCCCATGGCGAGGGTACTGTAAAACTAGAGCTTCCATTGGGAAGATGACCAAACACACAGATTTGTTGTCGGGTTTGGAGTAGAGTCCAAGGCACATAGCATCGTTAGATAATCTAGTTTAAAGCATCAGGACCATGCATGTGCTATCTGTTTACGTCCTTCCAGGCTTTGTTTTCTAATCCATATATCAAAGAGAGAAAGCTTCATAATTTGATTAAATTATAGAGTAGGCTTCTCTGAAAATTTTATGGTGCTCCAGAGTATTCTATATTTCAGGGTTTTTAACCGTTGGATCTTGGTCATTGTATCTTCTGACTCCTAGGGTTCTCATGCCTAATCGATTTAAACCTGATGTTGTTTTTCTTTTAATCCATTAGTAATTTTCGTTTTGAAGTTATGTTGCAATGTTCTTAATTTGTATATGGGGTGCTCAGCCGTGTACTGGAAGAGTCCGGTGAAATTTCCATTGAACATTCGAATAATGTACCCTTACATTTGCAGGATCTGCTAGGAATCGGAGATTACCGACCGGGCGCAAGTCAGTTCAACCATTAACCACGATCTCAACACTTGTTCCTGATTTGCTTTGATATGTTTGTGCTGTATAATTCTGAGAATTAGGTACTGAGAATGCCCGTCTTGTTGTATTTGTTTTTGCCAAACGGATGCCCTAATCTAATTTGTAGAGGTGTGAATTCGAACATATGCGTAAGAGAGGTGAGCGGATTCATTAACCTCATCAACTGGCCTATTTATATATACGCAAATCAAATGGACATTTGAGAGAAAATAAAAGTGCAATCCAACTACAAGGCCATTTTCCACAATTTCCCTATATCCAACAGTAGATGTAACCGATGAGACACGTCCTTGGAGTTGTTTTACATCACTATTAATGAATCTTTATCGTTCGAACATAGTAATTGAAATCGTTTATTTTCTTTATCATTATTTAAAGATCATATTCATATTTGTCAAAAATTATTCAATTTGGAAATTGTTTAGTATTCTTATGCACAAAACTTATAGACAGCTATCATGAGGATGTTACTTGTTATTAAAATCGTTGTTTGATTTAATACATATAGATGACTAAATAACCTCTAAATTGAATGATGTTTTTCAGATATGATCTTTAGATGACCATTTTGTGCTACTTTTTCTATATAATATTAACAGCATACAGTAATAGTCTGATAAATAAATAAAAAAGTAGAGAATAATGTAATGGATTGGCATGTAAATGTTGCAGCAGCTTGGACTGAAGTGAGCAGAGCCAATGACTGTGGAGTGTGGACCAAAAAGAAAAAGTGTCCTCAAAAGACAGGATGAAACATTGGTGTGGTGTCCTCTTCTCCCCTCATCATTCATATACCAAACTCCCGTCTCTCAGACTCAAGGCATCATCCCTTTCTCTTTCCTTCTTTTTCTTCTTTTTCTCCCCTAAATCTCTTTAATGATCTTGTGACAACGGTTTCATATATTCTTCAAATCTACGGGGAATGTTTTTGAGAGTGTAAATTTCACGTCAGGAAATTAGAATTCCTTTATAATGAACATGTAAAGTGACTAAATTTAACGTAAATGTTAAGAATTTGAATGAAAAGACTATTAAGTATCATCATTACCTAAATTGTTTGGAAATATCTTCTGTTACAATGTATATAGTCATTTTAAATCAACTCAATCTTATATTTGTGTGATTCTTCTAACCTATGTAAGCTTATTGTGAAAATCAAAATCCAATGGTATTAAATCTACAATCCGAAGAACAATATTTGGTTACTCAAAGATGAGTTAGAACTCATACTCAAAATTTCTCAAAATTGTTCGTTGTCAATTAATAGAATTTCGTGTTTATAATTAGAACCGTTCATATTATACCTATAAAAATCGCCTCTGCAAAAAAAAAAATCAATTAAAACTAAAGTCGTTTAGTCATCAAATTGTTTAAAAACAAATGAACGGTATTGGTAAAAGAATTACAAATCGTCTATGTATTTGTTACAATAGATTGACTATCTCAGACTCAAGGCATCATCCCTTTCTCTTTCCTTCTTTTTCTCCCTAAATCTCTTTGATGATCTTGTGAGAACGTTTTCATATATTCTTCAAGTCTACAGGGAATGTGTTTGAGAGCGTAAATTTCACGTCGGGAAATTAGAATTCCCTTATAATGAACCTGGAAAGCAACTAAATTTAACGTAAATATTAAGAATTTGAATGAAAAGACTATTAAGTATAATCATTAGCTAAATTGTTTGGAAATATCTTCTGTTACAGTGTATATAGTCATTTTAAATAACTGAATCTTTGTGTGATTCTTCTAATCTATGTAAGCTTATTGTGAAAATCAAAATCCAATGGTATTAAATCTACAATCCGAAGAACAATACTTCGTGTATTAAATCTATAATCCGAAGAACAATACTTGGTTACTCAAAGATGAGTAAGAACTCTTACTCAAAATTTCTCAAAATTGTTCGTTATCAATTTATAGAACTTCGTGTTTATAATCAGAATCGTTCATATTATAAATCACCTATAAAAATTGCCTCTACAAAAAATCAATTAAAACTAAAGTCGTTTAATCATCAAACTGTTTAAAAACAAATGAATGGTATTGGTAAAAGAATTATGAATCGTCTGTGTATTTACTACAATAAATTGACTAAACGACCTTATTTTATTTTATTTTATTGTTTTGCAAAGATAATCTTTACAGTGTGATTCATAATATGAACAGTTCTGATCATAAGCACAAAGCTCTGTGATTAAAATACTAAGAATTTTGAGTAGGAGTTCCTACTCATCTTTAAGTAGCTAAGTATTGTTTCAATCCGAATGAACCAAGTGTTACACGTACGATTCTTTATATCTTTTCTATTGAACGCTATGCTAGGTGCAAAATGGTTATATAATCTGCGTAGTTTAATTATTCAATGCGATGCTAGATGCAAAATTGTTATGTAATCTGCATAGGAGATTTTTTTTTAATGTCACCAGTTGTATATAATTACGTGTCAAACTATGATATCGAAATGTGGGGGCAGAAGGGTCATGTGCAAGAAATAAGAGGTCTTCTTTATAATCTGTGTTCTCTCCCTTGTGTTGGGTTCTCTTCTCTCTCTCTTTCCCACTGTCTCTTCTGTCTGCGAAAACCAGTGTGTTCTTTCACAAAACGGTAAGACGTCACTCTCTCTCTCTCTCTCTCTCTCTCTCAGATTCTGCAATCACTTTGTTTTGTGTGTTTGTGTGAATCTTTTGTGATTAAAAGGGGCAATGCCGTTGGCGATTTGCTTTTCAAGCAGTCTTTCTTCTCCAACTCTTTTTGACACCGACATCTGTATCTCTCTCTTTTCTTGCTTGTTCAAGATTTAACGGCCAAAAATCACGGAGTTCCGTCTAACCAAATCATCTTTTCTTATTCTTTTATTTTCCTTATTTTTGGATGAAATGATAGTTCTTCCTGTGAAGAAGTGACAAGTTTCCCAGATACCAGTGAGAAAGCAAAAACAAAAGGAATCATGGCTCACCAGGTACTACATCTCTGTCTCGCTCTAAACTCTCTCTGTCTCTCTCTCTCTAACAAAACCATTTGTGTGATATGATTGCAGGACGAAGGGTGGCCGTTGGGATTGAGACCGCTGAATGCGAGAGTTGGGTTGATCAGAAACCGGGATTTATCCGGTGGGTCGGTCTCATTCAGCACTTTGATCACTGCCTCTCCGACTTCCTCCATCGCCTCTTCTTCTTCTTCGTCCTCAGATCTTGAAACAGAGGTCAGTATTTTTCTGCAATGGATGAATGATGGCAAAATATTTAATGTGATTAGTATAAACCCATCATTAAGCATGCATTGTACTAGCATTCCCTACCACCATGCTTGTTGGCTCATCATCCTCCATGATTTCTCTGACCTCTCTGTTTTATTTTCCTCCTTTTACTAATGCAAGATTCCTCTGTTTTCATTGTCTCAATTTATTATCTTTAGAATCGACTTGCTTGAGGTGTACTCATGCACTTGCTAAAGATCATGTTAACAAAATTATTTATAATATCAACGGTTTTGATCAAAAGTACGAAATTTTGTCAATCAGTTGGTTAGTGAGTGAAATGAGGAGGAACTCCTCCTTAATCTTGAGGGGTCACGCCTTTCCTCCTAATTTAAGAAAGTGGTCTAACCAGTTACGTTGTTATGTTGTCTTACTAAAAATTTTCATATAAATTTTACATCTCGAAGTAGGGAACTCTCATCTAGCTCTTAAAATAGGAGAGCAACTTATATAATACTAGTACACTATTATCATAACACTTTGTTCTAGTACAACAAAAAATAAAAAAAGAAACTTACAAATGTTGTTGCATCATTGACACGGAACATTTGCCATATAAGTTGTTTCTCTGATGTTGGAGCTAAAAAAATTTACATTCTCAATTTTCTACCTATGCAAAGGGAGCAAAACCCAGCTTTAGCTCCTCCCACTAAATATGTAAATATTTTTTCTGTTAGATGAGTTTAAATTTCAAAATCTGTAGAGCGGTGCAGTGCATAGCTACAAATCTAAAAAATTAAACTCAAACATAAAAAGTAGAGTGGTGCGTTGCCTAGTTAAAGTTGGATTAATCCATTTTAACTCTTCCCCATGGAAGACCATCATGGTGTTTGACCTTGTCAGTTAATCTAGTATTGTCTCTTCCCTTTAATAAAATATCTGCCCATGAAACTTCCCAATACTCAATTATGTTACTGAAATGGAAACACAATGAAGAGGCCCATTTCTCTTTAAATTTGGAATTCTGTTACAGTGATATTTTGATGTAAAGAAGTTATCGTTTAGAACATATTATCATGTATTTGCATGGACAAGGCAATGAAGGCTCTTGTTTTGTCAAATATTATATGAGCAAAAGTGCTCTTGTTTTGTCATTCAAACCTAAAAACCTTTCTCTTGCATAATTATGTATTAATATTTTGCTTATCACTTTGCCGCTTTCCACTACTACACTGAAATTTTTGTAACATCGGAATTGCAATACATCATCATTTGAAATTATCCCTATTATCATATTGGGTATAAGCCATACTATAATAAAGTTTTCTTAGTTGATTTTCGGGTTGGCCCCACTAGAAGAAATTTCTAGCTCCGTCCCTGTGTATTTGTGTTCGAGTTTTGGCCTTTCATGTAAATCGTGATCTGATTTTAGTGATTTTCTTTATGGAATGGTTTCAGCCAACTGAATCTTTCTTCCATGAAAAGGGCATCACACTGGGGAGCCTCATCGGCGTTTCCGGCATCCTAGATCTCTCCGGAAGATCTACACGGAGAAGGGCAACAGAAACCTCCAAGAACAAAAAGAACCGTAAAACCAAACCTTGGTTGTTTTCCTTCTGCTCCAAGCTAACCAATGACTCTGTGAACATGAGCAATGATACTCCATCACTAGGTCACTTCCTTGAGGCAGAAAGGAGAGCAAGTACCCACAACACCAACAGAAGAAATCACGTCGCTCCAATCGAATATGGCCCCGAAGACTTCTCACCGGCAGTGCCGGTTTCCGGCCCCAACGGGCTGTCTGTGGACGGTGCAGTTGCCGCTGCTCAGCCAAGTCCTTCAGAGAGTGGAGATGGTGGATCAAGATCCAACAGAGAGTTGCTAGAATATGGCAATGGACTTGGAACTCCATTACTGCTTTCATGTTTGCGTGGAAAACTCATTAAATGATCACTTAAATTAAAATTTCAGATTCCATGTTGTTTAAAAGAGAGGACTTTCATTAATGGAGGGATCTTTTATTATTAATACAGGTCTTTTAAGATTTAATTATAATTAAACTCTGAAATTGCTCTCTAATTAAAAGGGTGTCAACCAAATGATTCTTGATTACTAAATGCTAAACAATTCCACTGCTTAGTTTCACACTTCCACATGATTTTTTTTACAAGCCAATATTCTAAATTAGTCTAATCTACGAAAAGAGGCAAAGAACTCAAGTGAGAGAGGACGGACACACTCCCCTGACCTAACTCATATATGCTTCGCTCAAGTGATCTTATTTTGCATGGTTATTGCAGCCTAAACTCATGGAAACGTCGTGTAATGAGAACTCTTTGTAGATGCAGAGATGCTAAAGGGGCTTTGGTGATCCGTCGCCATAGACGGCTCATACCAAAAATTAATTAGCTTTTGTGTTTCGTGACAATTGTAAGTTGAGAAATTTTATTTGAACTCATTTAACCTTCCTTTCTCCACACTAAACTTAAACTTTAAATGTGAATTGTCCTTCTTACCTTATTGCATAATTATCATCAAGTACAATATGAAATTAACATTAAAACTAAAATTTATCATTAAATCCATACCAATAATCAAACCCTACCATCACGAAATCTTTATCCTATGTTCATTCTAACTATAACTTTAAGACTGCACCGATAGAGAAAAACAAGCTCTTTTTTACTAATAGATATTTGAAGTTTTCAATCCTCCAACTGAGGTCATGCAAGTTTTTTTCATTTGGTTTCAATTTTTCAAGGGTTTAGGAACAAAATCAACGCCTTGTCCAAAACATAATTACTAGCAGAAGCATATGGGATTTAAAATTTTATTTATTTTAATCATCCAGTAAGCAAAATCAACAAAGGAAGGACTAGGCACACGACAAAATGTTAGACATACTACTGCTCTCTTTACGCTTTAAATGAGTTACAGAACAATGCTTTTGAGTTTTATTTTCTAAAAGGGTGCAACAATTAATTTCTATATTGAATTGAGTTTATGAACGTAGTTTAGGTAGCAAATTTAGGTTTAAAGAGATTGATAGTTTACTTAAAATTAATATGGATGTAAAAAGTAAGTTGAGCGTAGAAATAAATTATACAGGTTCAAATAAAATTGCCTTTATAAGTTTCATATTAAGTGTCTAGCTATCGTAGGAGCCGGACTTAGAACAAACATAGTTTGATTGAATGAGTAAAAAGTACTAGGTTTCTACCTCTGTTTCCTTCCCTGAAAAGGGCAAGGTAATTGAACTTTTATTTATTTAATGAAGAATTATATATTTATAATTGGGTGAGAAACCCTTCAAAGTTTTGCTGCTTCTTTAATTTAAAGAAAAACAGACAAAAATACTCAACGAAACAAGACCTGGAGATCCAGCTTACTGAAGGACATCTATATTCTCATTTTCTCTTAGCATTTAAGACCCTCCAAACGAATTGGAAAACATACCGCTGAGGAAGATCCCTCTCCGTCTTCCCGAGCAAAACCGAGACAACTTATCTCAAAGAGAACAAGTCCACAACTTCACTTGTCAAGGCTTATGGATCTCCTCATTGCATTCAGCAGCTACCTTTCCTGAACTGCGATTGCCTATCCTTCCAAACGAGCTCATAGGCGACAACACCTTGAAGCTACTGCTGCCTTCGCTGACATTAGACTTTCTTGATCTCCTTGGCTTTGCGGGACTCATTTCCGGCTCCATGTCATCGCTGACCTTAATGTTGGCAACAACTAGTTGGGTAATGGTGGTTCGGCAAAAGGGGCAAACAGGGACTGTAGGACAAGTAGATGAGGGATCGGGCTTCTTGTGGCAGCATAGGGCTAGGGTGCAATGAGCACACATTTGATGACCACATGGTACGACCTCAATTGTGCATAACTGGTCAAAGCATATGCAGCATAGGTCCACATCACTAGCCTGTATGAAATGATTTGACCGGTGAATAACTAAAGGCACATGCATTGTCCATTTCTATAAATTCATTGCATCGGTGCACAATAACACGTTTACAAGGTTTACTCATTCAAAAATGATATTTCAACTCTAGAAAAATTCTAAATCCTTTCTACTGAGCCAATCATATAGATAAAAAATATATATATATACTAAATGCAAGGAAGAAGAGAAGGCGCATCTACCTCAGAGGCATTATCATTAGCCTCAGTATCTGAATGCAGAGGAGATGGGAGTGAGGCTACTGTCTCCTTCAAGATTGCTTTCTCCCTCTCCATGTTTGCTTCCGTTAATGCCTTTTCTAACAAAGCTTTAGCCTCTGGATTGAGCTCACTGATGAACTTCAAAGGTGATGGCCAGACCAGAGGCTCTGCTGATGAAGGGTTCAGTATGGCAGCACATGCTTGATGCTTGTGCTTCAGAGCAACTGTATATGGTATTCTCCTGTAGAGATCAGGTTTCAGATGTCATGGCAACATATTTAAAGAACTTTTACCTAAAGTAGAAAACTCACTACTTGAAGATGGAACACTTGTGGGATTAGAAGCTCCAATGATGCCAATGATTTTGCAGTACATATACAAAAACTACCGCGAGGGGATGTGGTTTTATGCGTTGTACACATGGAATTTATAAAGCCACATCCCGTGCAGTAATTTTTGCTGATGTGCTCATATGGACAATGCTCAGAAAGAATTCCAATGTAGAAAAATGTGGAGTAAAAGAAGGCTTTTCCTTGAGGTTTACGTTATTATATTAATACAAAATTGAGTTTTTCAAAGATACAATTCAAAAATAGGTAAGCAACTAGCTGGCAGCGATAAGGAATTCAGGAATTGAATAAAGATGTAAATTCCTAATTGGGAATCTATTTGTTCTTTGGAATGTAATGGTCCATAAAGGTTCATGACAAGCAAACAATCCACTTAATTGACTAATAGATCTACGTAGTGTTTCTAATATGGAAAGACACACAATTTAGTACAGATGCAGATATTTACACCACCCAATAAAATGAAATTTACCCAGAAGAGTCTAAGTGAAGCCGATCCGCTCCCCAAGCAAGCAACTCTCGGACACAATCTAAAGATCCACCACGAGCAGCTAAATGAAGTGGTGTGCTTCCAGGGTAGCTGCATGCATATGGTACTTCTATCAATCCAATTGGCAAACTATTACAGTGCAGCTATAACATGAGTAAGTACAATATATAAATAATTACCCATATCCACCAGTTGAAGCACAAACAAGAGCTCCATTGTCTAAAAGAACATGAACGCACTCTGGCCTGTCTTTGGCGGGCTGCTAAATGCAATGGGGTTGCACCACCTGCATCTCTTATGTTCACAAATCTCGCAAATCCCCTGCCAATGCCATTTTATGTAAGATTAAACTTCAATCATCAGAGAGAGAGACATAGAGAGACAGGGTGACGAAAGACCAACCAAGAATTTGCAACAGGGGTGGAATGTGCAGCGGAAAGAATGGCTTGAAGGCAGTCTGAATGGCCATAGTATGCAGCGTAATGCAGACAAGTTCTTCCATTCAGGGAATCAAACATCAAAATCTAACAATTACAACAACAAAAAAAAACCAAATATCAGCATCTGATCAGTATAACTTAAGTACAAAAACTGTATACAAAAAAGAAAAAGGTAATCTGAACGTACATTTGCTCCTGCTTGGATAAGCTTTTGGACACAGGTGATATTCCCATTCATCGCAGCCAACATTAACGGAGTCTACACCACATAAGAAAATTGGAAGAACAAATTCAAAACAAAGCAATCCAATCCAAAGCATGCAGAAAGAAGTAATCTTTGTTCACAACAACCATCAATAACAAAATCCCATTACCTGTTTGTATCGATTCACCACATCCGGATTGATAACAGACCGATCCAACAGCATAGACAGAACCTAAACATAATCCCATCAAGAACATTAATGAACAGAAATTAAAATTAAAATCCATTGAAAACCCATCAATGAAATCCAAAACCCACCTCGATCCGGCCATTTGCGGCGGCGACATGCAGAGCAGACAGCCGCGGCGGCCTTTGCTCAGCTCCAAAACACTTGGGTCAGCTTCCACCATGGCTCCGACAAGCCCCAAGTCCCCATTCTCCACAGCTCCAAAGACTCCATTCTCACGAGGCTCTCCGCAGCTCAGGCCCTGACCCATCTCCCCCAACTCTCTTATCGTTATCGCATTTGAAAGGTGGCCTGAGAGCTAAGTTTCTCACGCGCCACCTTCCAAGGGCGACGTGCTGCCACCGGATGGGTGATGGTGGGGCAGCTCTGGCGTTAGCAGTGCTGCAGTGGCTTAGGCTTCAACGATGTTGATGTGAATGGGCAATCTAAGTAGTAGGCGACGAGTACATGTGGCACTCATTGGCCTCGGCATTCGGACCTGACCGCCGAGATTTCGGGTAGCTTGACCGCGCGGTCCTTTCTTCTTTCTAATGAACAATTTTATTGTCAGAGCTCGGGCAGCTGTCAGATATTTTTATCGGGCAATTTTTTAGATTTTATATTCCTTATCTTCCATGGGAAGCCTTTGACATAAGTCTTTGTTTCACACATGGATTAGTGAAAAATTACATTAATCTAATTTTAATTCTACTTGCATTTTGATTTTCATATTCTTGCTTTTTATCTATCTATTTTACTAGAGAAAATTAGGATCAAATCACTTGATTAGTGGGCTGATCAGACCATTTAGGTTTGATTACTACATCTACGTAATCAAATATTAACATTTATATTATGGATTTATCAATGCTTCGATTATATAGATGTCAATATGACCCATAACAATTAGTAAGAAACATTAACAAATGAGGTTTATAATTGATGATCGGACCATTTAAGCAATCATGTGGCTGTGAATGTAATTTTTTGGACTATTTTTCAAAAATTGCATCTGGCAATTACCGAACCAAATACAAGAGTGACTATAATTGTAATCTAAAGTCATTTGCCATCGTATAAACTTGTCGAGAAACAAGATTAAACATATATGATTAAGCCATATGCCACTTCTTTCTTATTAATTAATTTATTT